CAGAGATGGAACAGGTGGAAAAGGCTAACAAGCAGAATAGAACAACAGAAATACTGTAATATTGAGTGCAAAAGCTCCAACACACTATGCCATGGTGACTATGATGATAAGGTCTAGTCCATGCTCTCTTGGTGGTGTACTGTAGTTGAAGGGCATCACTACATGCACATGGGTTAGTACTCATGAATGAACCACTCAGAATATGCTTCCAGTCGTTGCAACAAATATCTGTTGGCTCTACCATCTCTTTTGGGCAACTGCATAGTGTTATCACAGGCAAGAGTTCAAATGACTACTAGGCATGGTTATATTCTACCTCCAATTCTGGAAGTAGTTTGTCTCTGATTACCAGCTACTGAAAATATCAAATGGAGAGTTCCTTGTTGCATTCAGAAATAGATGGGCCTTTGATTTGATCCAGGGGGACTTTTCATATATTTTTAAATTTGGATCTTCTTCCCCTCCACCCAGACAGTAGGTAACATTTTGTTTTTCTGAGCAGCTGAACCTGTGAAGTTTGCAAGATCCCTTGGATTCAGTATGTGGCATTCAACCACAGCCCTTGGAGTGGTACTGGACCCCCCCCCCAAAAAAATCCCTTTATTCTTGTTCAGTAAGAAGGAACCTGTCCTTTCCCAACTCTTAAAATGCTCATTTGAATGGATCACAAGGATTTGAGTCCTTATTCCCCCACCACATCAGGAATATGATGACAAGAGGCATGCATCAAAGGTCTCCTTCTCTTGTTCTGTTTCTATTGTACTAAGAGTACATATGGATTCAGTTATAAAGCATGCTAAAATTATTCAAACAATGTGTGTACATGTGAGCAGGCAAAACCCCTTTAAATATTTAGAGTTTCTCGCTTGCAATCAAGGTATCTGAAAACCTCAAACCTAATGTACTGCATACACATTATTAGCACTTCAGCCAGTTTCTTAAGAAATTCTTAAGAACAATTTGCAGAGAAATGTACATACACATACCACAACTAGGGAAAGGAAAACCGACCAAATGGCTCCCTATGGAAGCACTTCCCAGTGTGCTCCAAATTGATGAATGCTTGAGGTGAGGGGGGGGTTAGGGAAGGTGGGGGCATAATTGCTACCAACACTGCCCCCTCTGGTTTGCTGGTGAGATGCAGGGAAGTGGTAGTTAATGACAGAAACAAACTTCAGGGATTTCACAGGAAAATCCTTGGAATCAGTCAAACAAATCCAGACTGGCTCTATGGACGTTTAGGGTAATTGATGGGCCCCCAGGAGAACACAGCTTTCTTCGGCTGTGGGCAATGCACCACAATTGCAGGAGTTAAAATTTCCCCAGGGGCAATATATCATAGCAATTTCCTTTGCACTAGGTAAATATTTGTATTATTTGCCTATCTTTCCACACACATTCGCACTTCCCCTTTCGGAGAGTCTTCACTCAGCGCACACATCAGTTCTTTTTGGAACCAGAATGTCTAAAATCCAAATTACCCTGTGAAATAAAAGCTACAATCGGCTGCATTTAAATCAAACCCCCGCCGGCCTTGGGAAATAGTTCTGGCAAATACCAATATTGCATTTGGATGGTGCTGTGCGTGCCATTGAGAGTGAGTGAGATGGCAAACAAAGGAAAAGAGCAGAGAAGGGGGGAGGGAGCGGGAGAATGTAAGAAAAAGAAAGCAGAAAGGAGAAACAGAAAGCTGGGAGAGAAAAGGAAAGCGATCAGGAAAATACTGTACTGTTCTTGAGAAGTGTTCCCTGGCTCTAAAGTGTCAGTCTGTCTCCTGATGGAATGTGTCACTGTGCGGACTTAGGGAAAAGACAGTGTGTCATGCTTGGAGACCAGCGGTCCTTTTGCATATGAAGTTCAGCCACTTTTCAGTCACCATAAATAAACAAGAGATTATTCCAGCCACTTCTGAGCCGAGATCATAATGGAAGGAAAGGAAGATTGGGGACCCCTTCTGCTGGATCCTAGTGCATCTGTTCAGGAAGAGAGGGGTCTCCGATCAGTTTCAGTTTATAAATGTCAGTGCATGCATCTGAGCCTCCTGAGAAAGGAGCTTAAAGAACAGGAAATGTTTGGAGAAAGGCAGAAAGAAGAAGAAAAAATCAGGAGTACAACAGAAATTATTAATAACTCCAGGACTAATGTGTGCATGCACACAACTGGACAATGATGCCAGAAAAAGCTTCCATATCTGCTTGTCAGGGCACAGGGCTAATAACTTTACCAAACTACACTAAGCTGCGATTCTCTGATCCCCTCTGTGGCACCATAGCCCAATTTCTGTGTCTCCCTGGACCAGGCATAGGCAAACTCGGCCCTCCAGATGTTTTTGGGACTACAACTCCCATCATACCTGACCACTGGTCTGGTTAGCTAGGGATGATGGGGGTTGTAGTCCCAAAACATCTGGTGGGCCGAGTTTGCCTATGTCTGCCCTGGACTATATGGAGACAGGCAGAATCCTCTTGGAATGTTTTATTCCTTCTAGCCCATTGTTGGGTTGGTATTCACAAGGAGCAGCAATCTAAGTACTTCCTCTTTTTCATGTTCACTTTCCCTTACCAAATTCATGTATACTGGTAATTATGAGAATTCTAACAATTGTAGTAGACACAAAAGAGGGTCTATTAGACACCTATTCTTAAATTGCTGATTATAAAGCACGCAGGCTTGTTTCATACTGAATCAGTCAATCAGTCCATTTAACCCAGTATTCTCTATTCTGACTGACAGCAGCTCTCCAAGTTCTCAGAAGGGGTCTTTCCTAGCCTTGTTAATTGAGATCATTTTAAGTCAGGGATGAGGAACCTGTGGCCCTTTAGTTGTTGTTGGATTCCAATTCCCATTAGTCCCAGCCAGCATGACTGGTCACAGTCTCACAACATTTGAAGGGCTGAAGGCTTCCTATCCCTGCTTTAACTGGGGAACCAGACATCTTTGCCTACCATAAATTTATTAAGAATGGGGATATGCTGCTGGATTACCATAAATTGAGGACTAGTTGGAAGTGGAAAAGGGAGAAAATTTCTCTTTCTTGTCTCTTTTTGCCTACATTAACGGTATTTTTCTCACCTAATGTTAAATTATTCTCAACTGTACAAGGAAATAGTAAAAATGTGAGAATAGTCCACTAGTTTAAAGTCAGACACACATTCCTACCTGCTTACATATGCATGTAGTACTTTCTTACATTGCCAAGCTCATCATGAATAAAGTAGCAGAAATGTGTTCTATGGCCTTTTAGGAGCAAGGCCACATAGGTAATACATGTTTTTCGTTTTGTTTTTAAGAGAACAATAAAAAGGGATTCACAATTAATAGGGGCTAAAATACTTGCTGATATATCTGGCTATATAAAAATCAAAACCTTATAAACTAGCCTGTGAATGTTATAGTATAAAGAAAAGTACATTTGTTTGCTGTGCCTGTACTGCTCTACAAAAAGACCTCACACACACTTTGAAATGCAGGACAAAATAATATCAAATTGCATGATTACAGCCATATGATTAATAGTATTCTGAGGGACCCTCACTTCTCAAAGTTACTGGTCAGCAAGATACCCTTGCCTGATCTGCAAATTTGACAACACAATGCCATCTGTACATCTCTATTCCTAAAGACATGCGTAATTAAAAAAGCTAGACATACTGCAAAAACCAATTCTGTAAGTTTAGTACATTCTCCAATTGCAAATCCTTTCATAGACAAAATAGCACCACCTACCACAAGAGGGAGGTAGCACCAGACTCAGGGGAACCTCAATGTTTGCAGAAGTACAAAAACGCTTTGGGCAGGAAAAATCATAAAGGGGTAACTCAAAACAGTCTAGTGAGGACTGAGCATGCTCAATGACCACAAAATGTTGAACGAATATTGAAGGGGGGGGGGGGAGACAAGCAAGGTGGATGGGAGTATCCTGGAATGTAGGACTGGCTGAAAAGGAGCACTCCACACTGCAACACTTTGCTGCAAACTCCACTTATCAGTATAACTCAGTATACTCATTTTCTCTGACATAATTCAAATGCTTTTAGGATGTACACATAAAAAACAATAGCATTATAGGATGGCCTATCATTTAGTGTTTGTTTCCTAAGTTATGTACTGGGAAGCAAAGTACACTCCATGACCATCTTGGCTTGTAGCTGTTTCTGGTCCTTGCATCTTCTATCTGACTAAACTTTCCTTGGAGACTGATTTATTCAAATGGCTGGCCCTCTAAGTGTTGTATCACAATAGGTTCCACAGGTTAACTGTACATTGTGCAGAAAAGTACTTCCTTTAAGTTCACATTCTGACACGTGACACTAAAAAATTTGCTCAAGCATTTCTTTCCTTATTTTTGCCAGATGTGAATGTTAACATAGGATCTACTGCGTGAGAGAAATTGACAGTATAGTCAAACTGATGCAGGTTTTACATTTGCATTATAATAGAGCAATTTAAGAGTGCACCAATTTAAGCCTCCCAAGTGAAAATACCCTGAATGTTGTTTGTGCAAGACAGAAAGCATAAGAGAACCAATTTTTCTTCAATTGCGTGTTATTGCTTTTGTAGGTTTTGAATTGCAGACCCAAGGAAATGCAAAATACACACACATAACAACAACCCCTGCCCTCCACTGAAGTCTTATTTGCCTTCCACCCAAACCACAGCGAGAAGTGAGGCTGTTCAGGACAAGGGCAGAGCCAGAAAGCAGACACCTGCCTGGTTTCTCAAGTTTCCTTATTTGATTAGAGCTATACTGTTTAATTGATTTGATTGGCTGGATCAATCGATTTATATATATATACCTTTTTGACTAAAAAGGTACCCTTGGTTATCCGGCAACAGACTGCTATGTATTGCTTTTCGTGACACCTGGGAAACACCATCTTTAAAAGAGATACTTCCACTCTTCTCACATGCAGGAGAGGATGCCTGTTTCCTGATAGTGCCTCCTAGGGCATATTCATCAGCTAAACACAAAGAACATAAGCTGCTTTTTTTTTTTTTTTGCTTCAGAGCTGTTTTTCACCATATGCAAATTATGCCCATTTAACCGATTCACCAATCAACAGATAGCCTAAAAACTGCTAAGCTGGGTGGGCAGTCCCGCTTTCCACAAGCTTCAGAAAGCAACTCTGCTCTAGTCGGTCCTGAAAGGTGGATATATAAAGCCTACGCTTGCCCAGAATGCTCATTCGCAGTACAAAAGCCGCCACACACACCCCACCCGCACACATCTTCCACACGAGCTACTATCGCGTGCCAAGCGCGAGAGGCCCGAGACTCACTCGCGACTTGTGAAAAGCGCTTCTCTTCTCGCACTTGCTGGCCCGGCGAAGGCGCGGACGCTTGAAGCCGCGGGAAGTCATCGGCTCCCCAAAAATGAAGAGCGGAGCGTGTGTACCTTGGCTCCCTAGGAACGCGCGGGCCTCGAGCTCATTAATTAATTGCCCGCCAGTTGCGCGCTTTACGCGGGCACAAGAAGAAGCCGGCCGGCCCGCCGAACAACCTCGACGGCGGCCGCCTTCCAGTCTTCGCACAGCGTTTTTACCTCAGGGAGAGTTGGCAGGAGCTGCGCGAGGCTCAGGGCCACGCCTACCGCCCTCCTAGCGGAGCTTCTGGTGCACAGGGAGGAGAGAAAAAGAAACCACCACGCGGCGGGAGGGGAGAGGGAGAAATAAAGGCGGGCCCGGGAGCGGAGCGCGCGCGTGAGCTTTCACCTCAGCAGTCCGTGCTGGGACGAGGGAGCGAGAGAGAGAGAGAGAGACCTTGGCTCGCAGACCGCTGGCGCGGCTGAGGAGCCGACTTTTCCTCTCCCAGTCTGGAGCCAAGGAAAACGTTTCCTCCCTCAAGTTTATGCCCTGCTAACCTCTCCAGCCCTGTGGTACACTAAGCAAAACAAAAGACTTTTAACCGCATGTTCACACGCGAGGCTGAAATCGGTCTGGGTCAGCATAAAAAGCCTCGCCCCAGCGCACAGCCTTCGTTTCTCACCTGCCGTTTCTGTCCCACACGAACAATATTCCCACGGAGCACACAAATAAAAAGCAGTGACTTGGGCTGGGGGCGGGGCTCAATGGCGCGCTTATGCAGCCCGACCCTGCGGGGTTACTTTTAAGTAAAACCTGGGGGGGGGTGTGTTCCGCGTGTGTCTTACTCCCAGGTAACTGTGCGCGTCACACGTGAAAACCACCCAAGTCTCTCCTCCCTTCCTCTGCACCCATCCCACAGGCGCCAGCCGGACGACTGTGCTGGAGCGCCGCGTTAATCCTGCCCTGGGACAACAACGAAGGCAGTGGCAACTTTGAGCACGCCTAGGGATCCGGCCCCCGGGCTGAGGCGGTGAGCCCAGAATTAACGCTCGATTCGCTAACCACCACCACAATTTCAACCAGTTTTGTAACATTTTTATACCAAAACGGCTGAACTTTGAAGCTTAAGATCCAGCCGGCTGGCTTGCACGCAAGTCGTTTTTAAACACGCGCAAACATACCAAGCAGGCTTCCAGCGCTTTGTGGAAGGCAAAGAGGGGGGTCCCGTGAAGACAGTCGGCTCCCATATCTGCTCTGGAGGAGGTTGGCGTCGCTTCTTCTCCAGGCGTCTCCCTGTACTTGCACTGCCGCCCTCGGCTCCGGGCCTTTAAACCTGCCCGGCTGCCGACCCGTCCTCGAGGCCGAGAGCAGACGCGAAGGCAGCAGAAGCGCCCTCTGGAAAGAGACTCGCGCCTGCTTCGGCGAGTCGCGAAGTCGGGAGCATCTTGGAAACCTCGCTCCCCGCAGACAACAGGGTTGTTATAAAGGGGGCTTTTGTGCAAGGGGGGTGGGGAAGCAGAAGCTCTAACCAGACCCGGGCATTTCTCCCTGGCGAAAGATAATTTCACCCGCATAAAAGCGGGCAGGGTTTTACATTTTTTCCCTCCCTGCCCCCACCAACTCCCACTTTTCCGGATTACTGCTCAACTTTCCCATCACAGTGATGGAAAAAAGGATTGGACCGGCCGGCCGCTGTCACTTTCCGGATGCAGCGAGTGTGAAGGAGCCGCTGAAAGTTTGCTGCTTCCAACAGCTCCCCACCTCCGTCAGCTTTGATCATAAGCCTCCGTTCCCCCCCCCCCCTCTAACTGTACACACAATATCGCCCCCTTCTACGCTCCATAGGTACCAACTCCCTGGGGCCCTGAGCACCCATAAAATTCCCCATGAAGGGGCCTGGCACCCACAAATTTTGCACGCTGCATAGCACCCCCGGCCCCGGGCACCACGGTCGTGGGGCCAAGTTGGCACTCCTGCTACGCTCCCATCAACAGGGAGGAAGCAGAGCAGCGCAGCAACGGCATGGAAAGTGGAAGCTGCGCCCGCCGCCCTGTGGGGCAAACCGACCTTCTCTCCACCCGTCCATCTCGGCTCGATCCCTTCCATAGACGGGGCGACGTGACACCTTTGCTAGAGCAGAGACCCAGAGGAGATTGGCAGCTCCATTGACAGAACCGAACTCACTCTCTCCATTAATTCGGAGGCGCGTGGACAAACGGGGAGGGGGGAATGAACTCGCGTTGCGCACACCGACGTACCTTTCTGGATGGAGGCAGAGCAGTTTAGGCGGTTCCCCAGAAAGGTCACGTCGCTGCTCGCCAGTAGGACCCGAGTACTTGCTCCCAGATCCAGAGTAAAAAAAGGGGGAGAGATGGGGGGGGGGAAATGAGAAGGAGCGAAAACCCTATCTATTGACACCAAAAAGGCATTTTCTCACCAGCTGTCCTGGTAGCTGCGTCCCACCGCCATCCCTCTCTCTCTTTCTTTGGTCAAAGTAAGCGGGCGGCCGCCGCCGCTCCTCCAATGTGGTCAGCAGCACCTTCCGGAATCCTGGACTTGGAATTCAGGACTCGAGTGGATCTCTCCGCCAATCCATAGAGACGCTCGACTCACACCGGTTTCCAGAGGCAGCAGGCAAGCCGGATGGGACTCCCTTCGCACCCGCGGAGCGCAGCGGGATCGACTTTTCGCGGCGCCTCTCGCCGCTTGTTCCGAGCGTAAATGCGCGGCTGTGCGCCCGCCCGCCCCCCGTCCGCACTCACTCGGTCCTTAAGTTCTCATTGCAGGCCCGGAGAGCAGGAGGCAGGAGGAGGAGGGAAGAAAGAAAAAGAAATAATAATAATGAAAGTGGCCTCCTGCCCGCCTGCTTGGCAAAAAGAAAATAAAGAAAATAAACCACCACCCTCCCCCTCCACACACACACACGCTCGAAATCCGCTCCTCTCACATTGAGCACCCAGACCCTATTCAGTCAATTGGCTTCTACCGCCTTTCATTTGCATAGCCCCGCCTCCCCGTCCCCACCTCCCCGGACAGGGAAGCGGGGGCCGGACCCGCCGCCGTTCTCTCCTCCCCACCGCCACCTCTTTTTCCACCTGTGCTGCCCCTCCCTCCCTCCTCCACCCCCCCCCCCAGCCTCGCTGCCCCGCTCGGCTGGGCTTGGCAAGGCAGAGGCGGGCGAGGGAGCGAGCGAGCCGCGGGATTCCTGCGCTCTCTCCGGGTATCAGGCGAGTCCGGCTCGCGCGACTGTTGACTTTCTCTCCTCCCTCCGGCTAAGGCTGAGTTTCAGCAAGTCCCCCCGCGGCTTCCCTATTCCATCAACGGAAAGAGAATTGGGGGGGGGGGGGAGAGCCTTATCCGAAACAAGACTAATCACACAGACCCCAATTTCGTGTATACATACACCTCTTGCCACCTAACTCTGTGCTTTTGTGGACGGGGATTCCCCTCTCCCCCCCCCACTTAAAAAAAACCCCTGGAGAGGACGAGGCAGAAGAAACAGGCGCGGGGGTGGGGGAATGGGAAAGACAAATAAATAAATAAACCGACTCCTTTGTCTCTCTCTCTCTCTCTCTGGCTGAGTTATTCGGTGGATTGCAAGGGAGTGTCTCGCATCCCGGGGGTGGAGGGCTGATGGGGGCGAGAGACAGAAGGGTGGGGTGGTGGGGGGTTAGAGTGAGAGAAGGAGAGGGGAAAGACAGAAAAAAGCAAGAGAAGAAAGAAGATCGGGGTGAGGGTGAATTGAATGGTGGGGAGCGAGCGGGGTGTGGTGGGGAGAGGTGGAGAGGGGCCTTGCTTTGTAATGTTGCAAAATCCAACCAGACAGATCCTTCAACAAATATCCTGCAACAAAGAAAACTCGGGCGTAACTGACAGCGGGAGAGAGTGTTATCTCTCTCCCCCACCCCGCCCCACGTCTTCCCATCCCAGCGCCTCAGTCGTTTCAGCAGCTTAGGCAAACCAGGTTAACCCTTTGGTGGATGGGATTAGGCGGAAGACCTACCTCTTAGGTCTGTGGGTGGAGGGAACTATTGGGGTCGTGGGGCAGCGGGGCTGAGGTTAAGATGCAGAAAGTGGAGATATGCTGCAGAGGGATCCCATTTCAAGTAGCGACCCCCCTAACACGCTGTTCTGCATCAGACGGAAGTGGGAGCAGGTTCAAGCCTAGATCAATACCCCATCCTCAGTTAAGGTTTGCTCCACCTTTGAGTCAAAACAGTGGGAAACATGTTTGTATGCGGGGGTGGAGCTTTATGTATTTAAAGTATATAAAGATCAATAAGGTCTGGCTTCACCGAAAGGAGATCCCTCTTTTCCAGGTCCGGCTGTATATCCTAGTGAGTGAGGGGGCTGTTGTGTCCTTTAAAAAGGCAGAAAAATATTCAACAGAATGATTTACAAATGTGTAGGTATATGCTTATTGCTTTGTGCGCATACTGAAGGCTGTTTAGCAATTTACATTCCCCCCCCCCTACACAGAGGTAATCTGCACACTGCACATGTTGGCTTTCTGACCTGTGCGCTCCTGGCAAAACAGATACTTGCATTCCATTTAGAAGTGCCAGCATACACATCCCCCCTACACTGGAGAGATTACTTCTATGCGGGGGGGGGGGGAATGATATGTGAATTCCCCTAAGAGTGAGCAAGTTTTGATGAGGTTCGGCATAGCTATGAGAGTCAGGAAACCTGACATTCATCACTCTAAGGACATACAATGATTGACCAGCCAAAAGTTCTGCACTGAAATCCAAATGACAGGTTCTGGCCTAAGGCTAAGCAAGGAAGGATGCATAATTCCTCTGCCGCCTCCACCTAGCCCCCCCCCCCCCAATCCCTTGTGTCTTTCACATTTATGTATAATTCATGAATGCATCTTTGGCACAAGGTATCTTCTTCTGTTGCATACGGGAAAGCAAAAGCCGGAGTAACTTTTAGCAGCTGCTCTGTTTTGGGCTCTGTTAAGCAGCTGGAACATCACGCCACCAAAAAAACCCTTAAAATATAGTATCCTTATTGCCTTCAAAGCAATTGGGATGCATCCCTGAATCAAGAACGTCTCAGGTAACTTATGTTTATAATCAGGAGGAATACTATCACTTCTCACTGCAGTCAAATGCTGTTTCAGATCTTCATAAAGTAAGCCTCTAGTGCCGTGACCAGATGGAGAACTTGGCTAAGTTGTTTGGCTAGGTGGTCTCAATATTTTTAGGAAACTGACCCCGTACCTAATGGAATCAGCATGGTAGGATTTGTTTAAAAATGTGTGCAAATCAGAATACTTGTGATTTTCTACACAAGCAGTAGATTTAATAAGAAGCAGCAGATTTAAAAGGTTAAGTGACTGACATTGCAACCTCACAACAGTTACAGAAAACAAATACTGGGCCACTTCAAAATTTGATTATCACCCCTGACTTGCACAAATGATGATAAACCATGTAGACAACAATGTGCGACTGGCAGTACAGGTCTTTTTCACTTTGGGTATGCTGTGTGTGAGTTAGCTATTGCTCATCAGACAATTCCAAACTCCAAACCCCCAAACTCTCACACTCTCATAGCACTATTTATTTTTTGCAGGATGGTCAGCTGTTCAAAGAACGTCTAGTTCATGAAACACCTGACTTTTAACTGATCAATTAATTGGTCTGGAAACCAAGCCTTATGAAGAATGGTTGAAGAAGTTAGGTGAGTTTACCCTAGAAAAGAGAAGAACAAGGGCTCTTCTCTACACTTTCGTTTGTCAAATGATTGCTAGGCACGGGCCTGAGAGGTTTTTCTTTTGTCCCACTACTTTCCCCAAGGTAAACCCGCAGGTTATTGCTGAATTGGAACATCAGTTGGGTTTTCAAATATCTTCACAAATCTAAGGGGCTGTCACATGGAAGATGCAGCAAGCTTGCTTTCTGCTGCTCCAGAGGGCGGGATCTGAACCAATGGATTCAAATTCCAAGAAAGGAGATTCCAACTAAACATCAGGAAAAACTTTCTGATTGTAAGAGCTGTTTGACAGTGGAACTGGCTACCTTCGAAGGTTGTGGACTCTGCTTGAATGGAGGTTTTTAAACAGAGGTAGGCTGGCCACCTGTCAGTAAATTTTAGGATTAACTGGGCTCACCTTTCAGTTTTTTAAAAAAAATTATTAGGCATGTACTGGTATATTAATTGTACATTTCAGTCTTAGTTGTAACAATTTCCAGAGGGGTAGCCATGCTAGTTGTTGTTGCAAAACCAACAAAAACTTTTGCTGCACCTTAAAGGCTGACACATGTTATTACAGCATAAGCTTCCATGGGCTAGAGTCCACCGTACAATTTGTAGCCACAAGAACAAAGAATGCAGGAAGAGACCTAATGCTTTCCAGCTGTATTCTTCTTTATGATTTGGCCCCACCAACAGAATTGTTCTTTCTTCGAGGACTTCTTGTTGGCTTCAACCCCCTGAAATCCTTTCCCTCCATTTGGGAACTAAGGATGTAACTCTATACCCACTCACCTAGGTGTAAGCCCCACTGAACTCAATGGGACTCAATACTGTGCAGGCATGTATGGGATTGTGCCATGAGAGGTGTTCCTGATATGTATTGTGTTTGTTTTGAAACACAAATGCACAAGCACATGTTTCAAGGTGCACACAGACATCACATAGGATGAACTTCTTATTTTGCAGCAAAAAAATTGCTTATCTTTCCAAACAGCTTTAGAGCTTTTGCAAAACACTTATCCAATATTTGCCGTATAATAGACACACATAAAGCTCTTCCTAAGTGTACAGCCTTCTCGAGATACAAGCTTGCACAGACACGCTTCAAAAATAATCCTTAAAGCATAAACTTCGATATCGCCAAAAGTTGTCTTTTATCAAATGGGATCACTGGTGCATCTAGCTCAGTAATGTCTCTACACTCAATTGCAGCAGCTCCTCTTTCCCAGGGATTGAACCTGGAATCTTTTGCATACAAGATATGTAAACGTGTGCTCTAGTCTGAGCTGCAGTTCTTTTCCTATTTTTTTGTTGCATATTTTTAAATTTACTGGCCATAGTTTTAGGAACAGACGATGATATGAATCTGTCTTATTCAGGGTCAGACCAGTGGTCTACCTAGCTCAATATTGTCTGCACTGACTGATTGGGACTTTCCAGGAATTAAAAAAGGGTTCCCTCCCCTGGTCCTACCTGGAGATGTCAGGGGCTGAACCTGACATGTACAGCATGAAAAGCAGGTGCTCTACCACTGAGCTGCAATCCTCCTCCTTATATGGTCATTCACCTTATGTCGTTGTGGATATTTGCCTTTATTTGATAATGTTCAGGTGTTTGATTTACGGTATTTTATGCTAAGGATTGTTGTTGCATTCAACTATTCTGATAACCCTTCGGGGTTGAAGAGCAGGATATATATGTGTCATATGAATATTCTGAAAGCTTGTAATGCATAAAATGGGCAAACATTTTCTAAACAGCATTATTCACGTTGAATAATTTCCATCCTGTACAAATCAAAAGCTTAAAGATCTTGGCACCACATTTATCATGACATTTCATAGGCCAGTGCCATCAGAAGTGGTTCCCTAAGTGGATAAGATAAGCATACCCTGAATTTGATTTGATTCTATATTATTTTGGGCTCAACTATCCCTTGCACTACTTGATCATTTAGCCTGACTAGGAAAAACATGCCAGCAAAACAATTGTGTCTTTTTATCTTCTCTGTCTTCAGGGCATACTGAGGGGACCATACATCTGATAAAGTGGGCTGACCCATAAAAGCTTATGTTACAATACATATTTTTAGCTTCTACAGTGCCGCAATATTCTTTGTTGCAACAAATTAACTTGCTCAACCTTCTGGAATCCAAAATAATTTTTGCAGTCATGTCACATACATAGGATAGCATTTTCTAATACGCCTTTTTTCCCGTGGGTGAGAATACACTAGCCTTTCAGCAAGAACATAGTTCCTTTAAATTAAAAGCAATGTCTTTCACTCTAAATCCCAGTGGGAATTTCAAGTAAACATTGGAAGATTATGGGCATACTATATAAAATACAAGTAGTTTTGCTGTGCACATGTAAAACATTGCCCATATATATTGATTCTATGCATTAGCAGCAAGTCCCTTAGAGTTCCAAGAGTGCATAAGATTGTAGTTGTTTAGCACAATCCCATGTATCAGTGGGATATACCTTCCCTAGGAAGTCCACCTAGGTTTACAGAAGTATTAGTAAGATTCCAGTGTGGCTTATCCTATGTGTTGGGTTGTTAATACCAAAATAGTTTGTTTCCAATGCATATCATCACAAAAGTTTTCTGTGTGCAGCTTTTTGCTTTGAGAACTTTGGAATAAAGGCCCCATTGAAGTTTAGAGAACTATGAAACAAACTTTTCAGTAGCAATGATTTATGAAGTATCAGGGAAGCAACCAGAGAAATAGCCGCATAGTACCTCTTGGGTACATGCCAGTGGGTACCAGGATGGTTATTCACATGAAAGAGTGCCATCTATTGGCTCCCAACACTATTTCTTGTTATCTTTTCCACAGCTGTCCTGTTGTGGCACAGACCAGCTCTCAGTTAGGTTTCAAAACTTGGGTTGGGAAGGGGACGGGAAGGATTAGGCAGCACTACAAGAACGTCTTCTTAAATACTGCAGCACCAAAGCTCTGCCCCAGTCTATCTTGCACCTTCTTTGTGCCTTCATTAGTATGTTCACCATGTCTCTAGAACAGATAACGGTTGGGGGAAATATATATATATAAGTTCTAGAGAAGGGCAATGAAAAGCTTCGGTGACATGAAAAGATTCCATAGAAGGAGAGATTAAAAATGCGAGGGCTAGGAAACAGGCAGCAGGAAGGATGAGAGAAGAATACCAAGTAAGAAGTGAGATAAGGAAGGCCAATCAGACATTCCAGTTTACCTTCCCCATAGCACAAGTATTCAAAGGTGTCCCGGCAGGTGTCCATTCATGTTTTACCAATGATGAGAAGGATGAGGTGGAAGGAATAATAATGAGCCCAGTCATGCATGTGCCGAATGCCGCAGAGTACAGTGTGGTGATGCGTAAGGACCAAGAAACCTGAGCCCTTGGGGTCTGGCTGCTCCAAAGTAACAGAAGGCTAAGAGTTTAAATGATCAGTTTACATGAGGATGAGGATGAGGATGGATGGCAATCTCTTTTGCTTTACCATGCTTCTTATGTACCAATAGCATACAGGTGTTTTCTTAGGCAACATATGAAAACTATGTTCTCCATTTCAAAAAGAAACAGCTATTTTAGCAGATACTAACAGCAGCATGGACAAAAAAACCCTGAATGTATTGTTGCAATGCATATAATTTGTGCATGGGATGCTTTAAAAATAAGAATGGTTAAGACCTGGGGCTTGTCGACACTGGAGTTTAATGTGGTTTTGAAGCTGCTTCAGTCTTGTGGAAGAAAGGAAGCAGCAGCTTTTCACATGAGTGACTCCTAATTCTTGACTTGGAGTGGCACACTTAAGAAAGCCTGCTCTTTTGTGAAAATATGGTGTATTTTATTTTATTATTTTTTAAATTTCTATACCGCTTTATATTTTTAAGAAAAACCTCAAAGTGGTGTACAGCATATTAAAACAATAAAATAATAGCCAGGCGATGTTCCTCTGGCCTCATGTGGGCCTCGCCCCTAGACCAGGTGGAAAGGGCCTTGCAGGGAGCGGCCTTCATGCCTCACAGGCGGGCAATGTGTTTTGATTATCATTATGATGGTTTTTAAAGCTACACATGCACAGGTAAACAAATACATATATGCATGTCCACAAAGGACCTGAGATTTCCTGGCTTGCAGCAGCAGACATGTTTAAAAATTAATATTTCTTACTCCTCTTTTGTGCAAATCTGGTACAGTGGTGCCTCGCAAGACGAAATTAATTCGTTCCGCGAGTTTTGTCGTCTTGCGATTGTTTTCGTCTTGCGAAGCACGGTGTCGGGAAAGTTTTGGAAAAGCTTCAAAAATCACCAAAGTCTTTAAAAACCTCAAAAAAGGCTACCACACCGCGTTCTATGAGTTGCTCCTCGAAGTCAAGTCGCAACTGTATTAACGGTGTTAAGAACACGGAAACACACTTGCAAGCCGTTTCCATCTTGCGAAGCAAGCCTATAGGGAAAATCGTCTTGCGAAGCAGCTCAAAAAACAAAAAACCCTTTCGTCTAGCGAGTTTTTTGTCTTGCGAGGCATTCGTCTTGCGAGGTACCACTGTATATTGAAAAGCATGTATTTAGGTTTCTAGATCTTATGGTGGAGATGATACACAGCATGGATACATCTCATCAAGCACTGCTCACCAGTTTGAGCAGCAGTAGTTCACACACAAACACATGCATCAGCCTCCATGTATTGCATGATGAAGCAAAGGAATTCTCTTTCAGTTTCACTTCTGATTAAACAAGATATTAACACACAAAATCAATGGAGCAAAAGCACTTTATACAGTATCATCAGCACACTGCCTTATTACGAAGTGGACCCATACAATAGGTAGAGATGGAGCTAGATGGTTTAGTCTGGATATTCAGAGCAGCTCAGGCTTAGGAAGCCACTTAAAATAGTTCGCTGGCTTAACTGATGCTTAAATCCTTCAGATAGTTTGAGCTCATTCCACGCTGCAAGGCATTAAACTGTCTTACATTTAAAACTGCCCAAGAGACCAGCTCAAGAGCTTAAACTTCCAGCCCAACTTTGTTGAGGCTTCAAGGCATTATGGTAGTTTAAGAGTTAATGACAGCAGCTCCCCAAATTTCTTATGAGATTAGTCTGCGATGAGTCAAGCTATGTGCCACACATTATTGTGCAGGTTCCTTTCTGGGATCCAGTCCTTTTGTTAGCATTGAGCTTCTGATTCCAAAAATAGTGAGAAAGAGTCCCCTGCCTTTCCACCTTTGCACCATTGTAAAGTCACCCTCTTCTTTCATCTACATCTCCCTGGCTGCCAAGCAAGCCCATTATATCCTGTCCCAATTCACTAATGAGATGAATCAGTCCCTGTCCCTTTTCTTTCAAGCTCTTGAGTTTACAGAACTGAAGAGTTTGTCCACCCCCTTGTCCTCTTCTGTTTCCTTTCTCTGCCTTACTTTCCAAAGTTTGCACAGATACCAGAGCTGTGCTGGAGATAAGGTAGGTTGAGGGGCATTCTTTGTGGCATTGGTGGGCGTTTGTGTGCATGTGTGAGTGAGTTAATGTGGTGGTGTATAATGACCAGCTGTATGGTTGCATCAAGCATATGCCCTTCCCTACTTAAGACTATAAGGAAAGCCTGCTAAGTCAGGCCAATGCACCTTCTACTTCATCCTTCTCACAGTGGCCAAAAGCACAACAGCACTCTGCCCACCTACAGTTCCCAGCAGACTCTGGTTTTAGAAACAGTGTACCAGTTCCTGGGGAGCCTGAGTGGGAGGGTGCTATTGTGCTCATGTCCTGCTTGCAGGCTTCCCATCACACCTGGGTGGCTGATGGGAGAACAGGACGCTGGAGCAGATGCGCCTTTTAGGCTCTTCTTATGACTCGGTCATGCAGAGACAATGGGGCTTGTGCTTGCCTGGCTGCTTTCCCTGCCCATCATGGGCTTTAGTCTGAACTTGGCTAAGAGAGCCTGCAGTCTCTAGGGATGTATGACTTGCTGACTGGGTGCGTGTGATGCCTTAAAAATGCCATAATCTACAGAGGAACACCAGAGTGAAGAAAGCCTAGCATCTTCTTCTGTTCTACCTCTAGTGCTAATAAAAGAATAGCCCATCCCACAGGGGTTCAGTGCAAGGTCTTTTTTTTGCAGATGGAGATAGATCCCCCCCCCAATCCAGTCTTCTTGCCTTATTTTTGTGCCTGCTTGAGCCATATGCCCATGTAACGGCATCTTTGGTACTAGGAAATGTCAAACGGAAAAGGAATTAGAGTGGAGGCTGTTTTAGAGCGAACACATTCCTGTGGGAGAGTCTCTCATGTTGTTCAAGAGACTTGTATGAGATATTATATTGCTTTTCTGCATTATTTTCGAAGACCTCCTCATGGTAGGATTTCTGAGCACAGGTATAACTATAACCATGAGAGCCAGTGTGGTATAGTGGATACAGAGAGAGCTGAGCTCTGGAATGACCTAGCTTTAAAGCCCTGCCCAGCTATTTTATTTATTTACTTAATGAATGAATGAATAAAATTTATATACTGCTTACTTGCTTGCTTGCTTGCTTGCTTGCAAAAAAAAAGGGGGGGGGGAG